TGGTATGGCCCAAATAGGCTGCTTTCCTCTTTTTTATTATGTCGAGGAGTTCTCGGTCCTTGTTCATTTGGTTTAGAACTCGTTCATTCGAGACACGGTCAGTCCACGGTATTCGCAGCATTCTGCGATATACCCACATCTCAAATGCTTCCAACTTATTCATTGCGCCTACTTTGAGTGTCCACGACTCAGCCCCGTAGAGAAGTGTGGAAAGTACGTAGCACTTGACGAAGTTGTCTTTTATATGGATGTTGAGACGTAGAAGAACCTTTCTGGAATTCTGCAAAGGCACGATTCTTGCCTTGCAAGTTTATCAGCGCGTTTTCTTCGATGTTCCTGTAGCTTGGAACCCAACGCAAGTTATGTCGTATCTATTTGCTACATAGGTTAGTTAACTTGTCGTATGTTTTTTTTACTCTTTTGAAAGATATTGTAGATGAGTTCAGCGCCGACATGGCTGCGTGTCTGTCAGTGATTATTGCAGTTTTCCGCCTGGAAAACTGCAATAATCATCGCCGGAAAAATGGGTCTAGAGGTATAGGCTCCCGATCTAGGTTGTGTGCCGCACTTGTGGAGGATGGTCTCGCGTAAGTATCAGCCGCCTCTCCTGTAGTTCCCTTTGGGTTTGGTCCCTTGGAACTTTTTGTTCCCAGTGTCGCTAGGGGTTTCCCCACAGCTTCACCGGTGGTGTTTTTAATACTAGATCTCATAGTATTCCCACGAGTCGCTAGGAATAGTCAGTCCACTTCTACAGAGCCCCGTATGTAGAAGTAAGGGGTAAATACAATGAGGTGTCCCCTGCTGCCCCAAGGTTTTTTTACGTTTACTTAGAAGTATTTTTTCACAGCTTCAAGGGACGGTAGAGCTCAGTATATGGTTCTAATTTCAACTGGATACCTCCACGCATTCCCGAGATAAAGAGTTTTGACAGTCAGACTGAGAGACAGAAAACAAAGTGATTCTATAAGGGTTCCGTTTTTTTTCTTTTTGAGGTATGCAACCCTAAAAATTAAGATTCTCATTAAGAAGAAATAATCGATGTACATGTTTATAATACGATTGATTCATATTTGGTTCTGTAATATGTATTGGTGATGTAGTAAAATACCAAGAAAAGTCTGTAGCTTCAAATGTTTACGATACTTTGTATTCTTATCGGCTGGTAATTAATTTATTTGATACGGCCGGACATACCACATCCGTGCGTCGCTATCATTAAAGAATTAATAAAATCAAGTCAACAATTTACTTATACGACCAAGGTGAAAACGAGGATGTACGCCGCTTTGATGTTCTCTGTTTTACAGTGTAAAGTCTAATAAAAATGGAAAATGTTCAGTTAAATATTTAAGTACAATAATATTCGATCTATTACAATAAAGATTTTTTACCTAACCAAACTCAACAAAAGTATTAATTTTTGCGAAGCGATTTACAATATAAAAAAAAAAGATTTTAACGCCTATAACGTTAGTTGAAAGAATTGGGAAGATACGCAACCTAATGGTCGAATTTCCTCTTACGTCTCAAGTGCGGTACGATGAAAACACCAATCGTTCTGCGGCCAACGCATAAAATACTTATTTTCTCTAATTCGGCCAGCAAAGGCGTGTCGAAGACAGTGTGGAACTGAAAGCGACAGTGTTGCCATATTAAAATGTGTAATATCTGTGATAACGAAAATATTTTTGGATAAAAAATCTGCGTTTATGTATATTAGAAGTTTATTCGTGACAAACATAGAATAAATGTCAAAAATAAGAATTCTTTTATAGGTACTGAATATGTAGATGATTGAAAAAAATCGTTTAGTTGGTTTGGAAATGACGAGTATTGACATTTACCATTTACATATGACCATATTACCATTTTACTTATGAGATAACAGCGGTCTTCATTCCCAAGCTAACTGTAACGCCCGTTCTTTGTTTAATCATATAATATTATATTAAATTGTTTAATGATAGAAAATCCGTATTATTAACGTACCTACTGTACACAAAATACGTAAATCTACAAATTAATCAGTAGTTCTGGCAACAGTGTCTCCGGCAACCACTCATTTTGTTGACCATAGTTTAATCGACGGCCTGGGGTAATAAAACTAAAGCACATTTACGTCTAAGAACAAAAGTACGAAAATATATTGTTAAACTGACATAAAGTATCAAATTCAACCAGTGTAATCATAGTTTCTCGATATACAGGGTGGGTCTTAAATAAGTGCAAATATTTTTAGGAATGGTATATTTCGACCCCAGGAACACGTCTATTATATGAGCTTTTTCGCAAAAAAAGATGTTGAAAATCGTGCATTTTCTTGTATATTTTAGAGACATTTTTAGAACCTGTTCACCGCAAATTTTCCCAAGGTATAATTTCTTAATTTTTGATATTACCATGGTTACATCTTAACTCTATGGTTACAACAGAAAGGGATAAAAAATGTCTATACCTATGTGGCGGATTCATCTCTCCAAAAAATCCTGTATGGGTATTTCGCCATGTAATCAATATAACATACGAACATCTTTTAATACACAAGATACACTTAGATCCATTTTATCACATACTAAACCAATGAATACAGAACAACAAACAAAAAATGTAATATACCAAATACCCTGTGAATACGATAAATTTTACATTGGTGAGAAATCTAGACCCTTAAATGTTAGAATTAAAGAACATAAAGATTATTTTTAAGAAAGGGAGATTTTCAGAAATCTAAGATTTGTCAGCAATCATGGGACACAGGGCACAGAATAAATTTTAATAACGCCAAAATTATAATGATAGAAGCGATAGCCTCTAAAAGAAAAATAAAAGAGGCTTTTTTAATACAATCTAATAAAAATAAATGTATTGTTCATGCATCTGTAGATGTTAGTAATGTATGGCAATCGCTTCTTTGATTTTAAAGAACATAACATATATAAACATAACATACGTAAAATTTAAAAATAGTCATACAGAAAGTTTGGAGCTTTTTGGTTTTACCTTATTAAGTAATTGTTATCAGGTAGTAATTGTTAATTTTGAAGTTTAACTTGGATATACTCGTAATTTAATTTTAACAGAACGTCAACGGTTTCTTGTAGAAGTGTTTACAAAAAAATAACTATTTTATTTTGTAGATTTTCTTGCAGTGCAGTGGCGAAATACCCATATAGGATTTTTTGGTGAAACTAAAAGGGATGCAAATACAGAAAAAAACCGGTGGCTGTCAATTTTTTATAAAAATATATTTTTTTTTAATTTCAAATTTGAATAACTCGGTTATTTTAGACTTATTTGAAAAACTGTAAAGAGAAAATATGTTTCTTTTATCGAAATCTGCCAACCCTGAAAATATTTGCACTTATTTAAGACTCACCCTGTATATACTTCACATTTGAACGAGTTGAAAATATTTCCGAAAAATAAAACTCATGGGAACAATTATTATTATGAAAATGGAAATAAAAAATGAGAATTGTTGTTTGTAATTATTTATTGTAACTTGTAACTAACTATTATACAGGGTGTCCCAGAAATAAGTGCAAATATTTTAAGGGGTGGTAGATCTCGACAAAAGAAACATATTTTTTCTTTGTCGTTTTTCAAATAAGTCCAAAATAACGGAGTTATTGTACTTTGAAAATTTCCAAAAAAATGATTTTTTTGCTGAAATTTTGAGAACCACTGGATCTTTTCTGGATTTTCTTTCTTGTAAATTTAATATAATACCTATGTTGCCATATTATCAAGAAATTATGTTTTTTAACTAAAAACTAAAAAAAATTAAAAAAAATTTCGAATGAAATTTTTTTTTTCGCGAAAAAAACCTAATAGGCGTGTTTCTGGGGTTGAACTATACTACCAGTTAAAATATTTGCACTTATTTCTGGGACACCCTGTATATTGTGTCATTGTCAAATATTTTTCACCAATCATAAGTGATTCGTATTATTTGATAAACGGAGGCATGAAAATGTAATACATTTAAAAACCACAACATTTTCTAACCAATCGACGTTATTAATTTCAACTAATAAAATTAATATCGTATCATCGGTTATTGGACGCATGAAAATCCGCCTTAAAACGTTACGTGTAGACGGGGCTTTACAGCTCTTTCCGGGAACCGAGGAAAATATTTATATTTAATTTCCTTATTAAATAATGCAATAATGTTGTAAACCGACAAATCCATTAATGTAACGAACTATCGCCGGCGGAAAGTCAAAAAGGAAACAGAATTAAATTTTATGTTCGAAACCAGTTAATTTCCTCTTCTATAGTGGCAGCGCGTTTGTTCGAGGCGAAAACGTAGTTAAGCTTTGACAGCATTGATTGACAGGTAGATGTTTGTGACAGATGCGGTGGTAAAAGGAGAACGGAACTCACTTTTAACATGCTTTCACTAATTGGAAAAACATATATAGTTTACGAGAAACGTCAATAAACTACGACATACACAGGGTGGCTTTGGTGCTGTGTACAGGATGTCCCAAATTCAAGCCCTATAATTTGGATCTCGGAAACTAGAGAGGTCAGTTAAAATACTACCTAAAAGTTTAAAAATTTCGTATACAAATCCGTCTAAATCCGTGGGTAATTATGAAGGGCAGATCGTTTGCTGACACTGTTCTCAATTTAAGGATTTATACGGTGGGAAATACAAGGGAAATACAGTGCAATCGCGATAATATGAACACAAAAAATTTTAGGTTGTTCATACTAACGGTGTTCATATTATTGAAGGTAGTAAAAATACATAATAAAATACGGATTAATATTTTAAAAATCGTTTAATCGTACATCAAAATCAAGTGCTTAATATCTATGTACATTACATGAAACTAATTATTAGTTCCAAAATATGAAGTTATTTTTGACTGAGTTTGTTTGGCCGAAATGTTAGCTAAAACTGCTTTTTCAAGAATGTTTTTTAGAGTTGTAATATCCGATAAATTTATTACGTTTTGTTTAGCCCATTCTAATGATACTGTAAGGGCCTAGACTGCTTCGCTATGTTTAATTGTAATTATTGGCTGTTCCTCGATTTCAATGTCACTCTCATTTGAATCCATATTTTCAGCTTCTTCCAGGCTCGCTTCTTCTATCACTGAATCCTTGTTCCATTCTTCAATGTCTACAGCCCGTGTATTCCGCCTGTTAAAACGTTTAAAAATTACTACATAATATGTATTAATTTATACTATAGTTAATGACCTAGACTAGACTTACTTTAGATAAAACCGGTTTTTAAACAAAAATGTACAAATGCAAATTTAATACAATACAGGCCTATAGCGCCTAAAAGTGCTATTGTGTCTCTTATTGGGTCGGCAGCTCGTTCTTCAATTAGCTGTTGTCTTATGCGTGATAGAGGCAAGTCGTCCTCATCTAATGCATCCGTAAAGTCAAGAATGTTTCGCCAACATTTTGAGATCATGTCTGGGTTTAGTTTTTCCCATGCGGCCATTAAATGGATCACTGCATCTCTTAACGTAGTTTTCTTAAGGGCTTCACCTACAGTGTCTTTTCCAGTAATAATGGAACTAAGAAGACGGTTCCTATAGAAAAGCTTGGTAAGCCTAAGCACATTCTGATCCATTGGCTGAATAAGTGGTGTAACGTTCGGAGGCATAAACATTACAAAGATCATACCATCACTAGATTTTAAATCTGCTGCAGGTGGATGAGACGGAGCGTTGTCCAAAAGAAGTACCGCCTTTTCTGGTAGATTTTGAGATTTCAGAAAACTTTTAACCTAAAAAATCTTTAGTACAATAAAGTTAGAAACTAGAGGAGAATATTTTTTATGCTTACCTCTGGAACAAATTGCTGAAAAAAACAGTTTTTAAAAAGTTCACCAGTCATCCAGGCGTTCTTAGTGTGCCGGTACACCAAGGGATTATGAAAGTTTTTGAAACATCTCGGATTTTTTGCAGTTCCGATAAGTAATGGTTTTATTTTATGCGACCCTGAGGCATTGGCGCATCCCAAAAATGTAACTCTTCGTTTGGCTATTTTGAGTTCAGGTGCAGTTTTTTCGGTTAGTGATACATATGTTTTATCAGGTAACAATTGCCAATACAACCCAGTTTCATCAGCATTGTACAACTGGTGCTCATTTAATTCATATTTTTCAATCACCATTTTTAGTTTTCCTTTAAATGGATTAATAAGTTCTGGCTGACTTGACAGTTTTTCTCCGGTTATTTTTAAAAATCTTACCCCATACCGTTCTTTAAACCGTTGTAACCACCCATCACTTGCTTTAAAGCTGCTAACTTTTAAACTGGAACTTAAACTCAAAGCTTTTTGCCTTATCATCTCTCCAGAAACTGGCATATTTCTCTCGCGTTGTGCAAGGAACCATTTATAAAGCAGTTTTTCCATTTCCCGAAGTTCTCCTTTTTTTAATGTGCATTTTTTTTGTTAATTTAGACGCACAACTTGCAACTCTTTCGACAATTCTTCTTTTTTTGTTTTTAATTAAACACACTGTTGATTTGGCAATACCGTACTTTTTTGCCAAAAGCGCCACGTCTAACCCTTTATCAACATCTTCTAAAAGTTTCGCTTTCTCATGAAGAGAGAGACATTTTGATTTGCCTTTCACTTTAACCATTTTAAATTATTACAGTTAAAGAGTTATTAAACACTTTATAGACTCTGTTTATGAAACTAGCTGCGTTCACCTCTATTACATAAATAACAATGAATTTGAACCTCTCTAACAGACACAAAATAGGAAAAAAACAAGATCTAACAAGTTGTTCATATTACCGAGATTTCAGGCTGTTCATACTATAGAGTAGTCAATGAAAAAATTATTGTGTCCATGTTACGGAGTGGTTCATATAACTGCGTGTTCATACTATCGCGATTGCACTGTACTATTAAGTAATTCTTTTTTCTTTGTCTTACCATAAAATTGTTTTTTTACTCTGTCTTTTCTTCACTCGTATTATGTTTTTCACTGGTGATATTTTTATATTTCTCCATATTTTTCTTGTTAAAAATAGCAGGCTAGTCGTGACTGACTAAGTTAAGAAAAAAACTCAAAATTTAAGTGAGGATGCAGTCAAAAATCACCACATCGGCTAATAAAACTACTTTTTCAAATTTGTCAACCTTTCGAGAATTTTATTCCCATCATCAGGACAGTTTGACTGAGTTAATTAGCAAAAATAACATCCTCTGCACAAAAAGGCTTTAAAAACTAGCATCATATGACATTGGAATACAAGGACATTTCCTTTATAAAATATTAAAATACATATCCAACGACATTACTTTTCTTTGAAACACAAAACAAAAAAGATTTTTTTTTGTTTTGTACTTTAAATTTTTAAAAAATCTTTTTTGTTTTGTGTTTAAAAGAAAAGTAATGTCGTTGGATATGTATTTTATAAACGAAATGTCCTTGTATTCCAATGTCATATGATAGTTTTTAAAGCCTTTTTGTGCAGAGGATGTTTTTCTTTGCTAATTGACTCAGTCAAACTGTCCTGATGATGGGAATAAAATTCTCGAAAGCTTGACAAATTTGAAAAAGTAGTTTTATTAGTCTATGTGGTGATTATTGACTGCATCCTCACTTAAATTTTGAGTTTTTTTTCTGGTTATGTAGGTGTGTAAACGTGATAGAGTTATTTTTGTTTTTTTTTATAAGTGTATAGCATATGTTATATTCTATATTTTATGTATCTAAAGCTTCATTCAGAACCTCGAAATCAGTGGAATAAATTAGTAGTTTCAATTAGTCGTAGAAGTTTGTTCACCTAATTTTAATGTAAGCATTCACAACGTCATAATTAGTGGTAGTAATTTTCAATTAGTGGAAAAAGTTAACAAACCTTTGACTTTTCCACTAATTATACTTCAAAATTTGCGAGAAATGTCCTTTTGGCCTTTGATCATCACCCGTCAAGAAAAACTTTGGTTAGAAATCAAAAGTTTATTGTTTTATAAGCTAAATGTTATGCTTTCTCTATGGATACAACCTTAGACAAGGAAAGAGAGGGGACAGATAACACGGCAGCTGAAAGTGAGGCAAGTTGTCACCACGCGAGATTCTCCAATGGCGTAGCATCAGAAATTAGCTTGTAGCTAGACGGTACAAAATATTTATTAAAACGTAAACTAATATATCGTTCATTTTTGAGTAATGCATATACAATTTTGTATTTTATAGTCTCACCTTTATAATATTAGAATATCTAAGTCGATAATGCAAAATTTATTTAACGGTTACAGTGGACTGATTATCAAGACAATTATTGATTTATTAAGATGTGTATAATGTATAATTAAAAAATAGTAGGGTAATAACATATGTTTTAAACGTGTATATACATATATACTGTATGATCGAAAAAACGGCGCGTTGTTTGTTTGGAAATGACAATTTCACAAATGAATATTAAAAATTACATTATTCCTTGAATCCGTAAGCAAGTGTGAAGGGAATTGGCTAGATTCATTATTATACCGTATAATCGAAAAAAAAAACGACGTCCAGTTGGCTTGTAAATCACGATCGATGACATTCCCCATATAATTCTCCATATAAAATGACATAAAAACTATACAAAAAGACGGCGTCAGCGATGGCTATGAAATGAAGATCATTTCATAGCCATCGCTGTCATTTTATATGTAAAATTATATGAGAAATGTCGCCGATCGTCATTTACAAGCCAACTGGACATTGTTTTTTTTCGACCATACGGTATAATAATGAATCTAGCCATTCCCCTTCACACTTGCGTACGGATTCAATGAATAATGTAATTTTTAATGTTTGTTACCTTCAATCATAAAAATATCCCATTTTTAAGAATATCCGAATTTATCCACAAAAAAATAAAAAAATTCTAGAAGCTTTGTGTCATTTTATTTATTTTTAAATTTTTATTAATTACTCACTGAAACTATTATTATACACAACAACTATACATATAGATTTTTTATCACTAGAACTTTCATCTTTTATATATTTTACAATTATCTTTGGCATATTCTGATATAATACTTTATACATCTTTTTACATGTGTTATAAAAAATGCCCATTGCAGAAATTGTATCTCTCTGATTATAATACCCAACGCAACTGGAGAAATCCTGACTGAGTAGCATTATCAGGTAGGCTCAAACACTAGTCTATGTAATATAGGATACTTGAAAATACCACTTGAATAATAAAAAAAATAGCTGTAGCCTTTGATGTGGGTGCATACATATACAAGCATCTTACATTTCATCAAGCAGTAATGAAAATGTACATCTATGGACTACATAGTGCCGTTGTGTGTAATTAGAATTTTGCATCTTGTAAAATGTAATCTAGTCATTTTCTCATTTCCAGCCCTGCAGCCATACTGAACATCTCATATACTAAACAACATAGTTTATAAATCGAAAACAAAACATGTATCTGCTAAAAAACATAAAATCTGCTATTTTGCGCTCACCCTTGGAAACTTTGTCACCAGGCGCATGGCCGCCAGATCAAATTTGGCCCCCAAAAATTCCTTTCTAATTGGAGGAATATGTACATTGTCCCTCTTCCCTATTCATGGATATTAAATAGACTCACTGCAAGCCTATTGGATATTTTATTAATCTGAATTTGTGTCTCTTTAGATACTGTGGAATGATCAGTAAAACTAAAAAAGTATAAAGTATAATTGAAACCACCAATCAATTCACCTGTCAGTTGGGTCTCCAACGTAGTTTAAGGGGTTTTAATTATTCCTCTCATCTGATTTCACTCCCTTTGATAGATTGTTATTACTAGAATTTTAATTACCTGGCCGTTACTTTTGCATTGTTTTGATACTGAAAAAATTCTAGATTTAGTTTATTCCCAATGGGAAAGCAGCTTATTGATAATAATAGTTAACGGAAATGTGATACTTTAAATAAATAGTAGGTACCATGATACCTGTCGGATGTATTATATATTGGTGAATGCGCTAGTATATACATATTCCATTAGAAGGTATTGTGGAGCTGCATAACATCGTCTTTAGCTGTGGGTGATATAATTTCATGGGAGGAGTCCTGGAAATGGTTGAAAACTTGACTCCAAGCGATTTTCTGTGGAATCCTTCCTATCTATTGATAAATTCATATTGACAGAGGAAGCAGATAAAACCTCTGAGACCCTTCTCTAGCATGTAACAGTTCATCTCTTTTCTTTCTAAAGTGTGCGCTGAAAGGAGACAAATACAATTTTGCAAACTCCATGTCTGTTATTCGAAATGCCCACTTTCTCCTTGTCATCGTTGATGCTTGACTTGTCTTTCATTTTATTTCTTTGTTTCCACGCTGAGTTTGCGTTATTTCTTGTAAATCTCATTAATACATAAATCATTTAGGCAAATATAGGTTTCTTTGATAAACCCTTTGACCAATGTGTAGGTAAGTGTTGATAAATAAGTTTCTTTTCATCTTAACATGCTCAATGTCATTCTCCTGATTTAGGTGACAGGAAAAGGACTATAAATTGAATTGAATTCCATATTTTTCTTTTCATCCCAGACACTGATAATAAAATATATATTTCCATGGATAATTCTCCCAAATATCAAATGAGATGGAGTTTATCGGGAAGAAAGGGACCTTGTAGAAAATGTTAGAAGTAATCTTTTTCTCTCTAGACCTAGGATACTGAAATTCATTATATACTGTCGTTTATATTGCTGCCTTAGAGTTATAGGTAAACAAAGAAGAACAGATATAAAGTATCCTAGGAGGAAAAAGAGAGGCAACACCAAGGTAAATTCTCCTGATATTTGGTGAAAGCATGCAAAAGTGCATTGCTTTAGAAAACGCCATCTTTAATCGACCTGGAAAACTTTGAGTGCAAGATGAGACTTTTAACAATACCCTGACAGATTTCAGAGACGATACAGGTTTTTCCTCTCTTTTTCCTGGAATACTTTTAATTCATTATTCTTTCTTTATCTAGATTCCTGTGAGCACTATGGACGAACTCAGCTTGTATGTCTGAAATAATCGTCCAGTTGGCTTCAAAACGATGATCGATGACATTCTATATATATTTTTATTGTAATTTAATAATATACAGGCTGTTATTTAAATTTAGGCTTGTAATACCATTACAAGTTTAAGTTACGTGATTATTTAATTTTGTCTCTTGATCCACTTGTAACATTCATTTCTTTAATTCCTATTAATTCCATTGTGGGTGTTCACCTTCTGTTGTATATTTGATATTGATATTAAAGCTATATTTCCTTTTAAAAAATGGTATTTTTGTGTTTTTATCTATGTCAGCAATTAAAAATAAAATGAAGAATTAAGAAAATTTTTATTTTTATACTTCCCAAGGCGTGATACAATTTAGTCCGTAGTCCCTACAAGC